ATTCCAAAAAATAGAGGAAGATGGAGCACTTCCTAACACATTGTACAGGGCTAACATCACCCTGATACCAAAGCCAGATAAGGAAAATACAATGAAGGAAAATTACAGGCCAATATCACTGATGAACATAGATGACAAAATCCTTCACAAAATTTTGCCAAACAATCACAGCAATATATTAAAAACATCATACACTGTGATCAAGTGGGATTTATACCAGGGACGCAGGGATGGTTCAACATCTGCAAGTCAATCAATGTGATACACCACATTAACAAAATGAGGAATAAAAACCATACTATCATCTCAATAGATGCAGAAAAAGCATTTGACAAGATCCAACATCCGTTTATGATAAAAACTCTCAAGAAAATGGGTATAGAAATTGTCTCGACATAATAAAGGCCATATATGACAAACCCACAGCCAACATTATACACAATAGGGAAAAACTGAAAGCCATCTCTCAGAGAACAGGAACAAGACAAGTGTGCCCACTCTCACCACTCTTATTAAACATAGTACCGGAGGTTTTGGCCAGAACAATTAGGCAAGAAAAAGAAATAAAAGGAACATAAATAGGCAATGAAGAAGTGAAACTCTCCCTCTTTGCAGATGGCACGACTTCTTTATATATAGAAAACCTTAAAGAATCCATCAGAACACTATTAGAAATAATCAACAGCTACAGCAAAGCTGCAGGGTACAAAATCAACTTAAAAAATCAGTTGCATTTCTATACTCCAATAACGAACTAACTAAAAGAGAACTCAAGAGTACAATCCCGTTTACAATCGCAACAAAAAGATTAAAATATATAGGAGAATATTTAACCAAGGAGGTGAAAGACCTATACAATGAAAACTATAAGACATTATTGAAAGAAATCGATGATGACATAAAGAAATGGAAAGACATCCCATGCACATGGATTGGAAGAATGAACATAGCCCAAATGTGCATACTACATAAAGCAATCTACAGATTTAATGCAATCCCAGTCAGAATCCCAATGACATTCTTCATGAAAATAGAACAAAGAATCCTAAAATTCATATAGGGCAACAAAAGACCTTGAATAACTAAAGAAATCCTAAGGAGAAAAAGAAAACTGGAGGCATCACAATCCTTGACTTCAAAATATACTACAAAGCCATAATAATAATCAGAATTATAATAATAATTATAATTATGGTCAAAACAGCATGGTACTCATACAAAAACAGACACACAGATCAATGAAACAGAATTGAAAGCCCAGAAATAAAACCACAAATCTACGGAAGCTAATCTTTGACAAAGGAGCTAAGAACATACAATGGAGAAAGGAAAGTCTCTTCAATAAATGGTGCTGGGAAAACTGGACAGCTATAAGCAAAAGAATGAAAGTAGACCATTACCTTTCACCATACACAAAAATTTCCTCAAAATGGGTCAAAGACTTGAAGGTAAGACCTGAAACTATAAAACTCCTAGAAGAAAGTATAGGCAGTACGATCTTTGACAC